GGTCCCCTCCCCGCACTCCTAGCCATGACAAGGTATGCTTACAAAGACAGAACTACCACATGACACTACTGGTCCCCTCCCCACACTCCTAGCCATGACAAGGTAGGCTTACAAACACAAATCTACCACATGACAATACAGGTCCCCTCCCCGCACTCCTAGCCATGACAAGGTATGCTTACAAAGACAGAACTACCACATGACACTACAGGTCCCCTCCCCACACTCCAAGCCATGACAAGGTATGCTTACAAACACAAACCTACCACATGACACTACGGGCCCCCTCCCCACACTCCAAGCCATGACAAGGTATGCTTACAAACACAAATCTACCACATGACAATACAGAATACAGAATTCTACATAATAATATTTTTTAGTAAATATATCCCAGATATATTTCTGGAAATCAAGAAATCTATATTAACATAGTTACAAGTATATTGTATCATATTTTGATAGAAAGTTATTAATATCATAGTAAAACTGTTGTATAAAATTTAACAGTAAATTTCTAACACAATATTCACGTTTATCTGAAAGGATCATGATGTGCGGTTTACCTATTATACAAACCTTTTCCAGCTGAATTCTATGTTACTGTCTTCCTGTTTGTGGGTCACTGGAAAAATATAAATAGAAAATTGATGTTCACTGAATGAAATGTAAAGTCCAAACAAGAGTACCGCGGGGTGGAACAATATACGCCCATTGAATGCAATAGTGTTATATACTTTCTTACATTGAAATAAGATCTGCATCATTCTAAGAGTGGTTAGCTGACATGCAATAAAAAATGTAGGAGAAAATCTCCAGATAAAAAATCAAATACTGCAATGAACAAAGGGCAATAACGTTTGCAAAAATTGTCGAATCAAAATTCTTTTACGGGAGACACAACTTCATATCATAGTTATATTGTAAACACAGTTTCAAAGAGATCGGTCGAAAAATGTAGGAGGAGATTGCCGGACAAACAAAAGTTTATGCCAGACGGACGGACCTTTAACATAATACTCCTGTCAAATTTGACAGGCATATAAAAACACAACAGAATTGATATTTTGTACAGTAGAGAACTTTGTCAAAGAACTAGGTATGAATATCTTCCAACAAAATGTTAATAACTTCACAAGCAACAGATGAATTTTACACCAGGTCATCTTTAAATCATTTTTAAATGAATATTTTTTTCCAAACAATATATATTTTTCGTTATTTTCTGTTCAAAAACTACCTTTGATCTTCCAAAATGGCTCTGGTACAAAAGCTTGAACTTGTTTGTATCTTTCCACCACAAAACCAAGGGTAGGGAACTGACAGCTGCCGTAGCTGATCAGCTGATCTGACAGAACCTCAGGGAATATTTTCTGTAGTCTTAACGTCTGGAATCTTGTAAATGCAGCCCCTGAAATAGAAGTAAAGAATAAAATAAAATCACAGGATCAATATGTTTCTGTTTACCAGTAAATTAGTAATTCTGTACAATTGGGCTGAAATTATTTTTTTTTATTCAGAAGTGTTATTTCCATGCACATAAACAAATTCCAATCGCACATAAGGCTTTTATGAGTAAGACATTTCCATAGCTATACAGTTATTTCATTGGCAGGATGTAGTTATCTTTAACTTCTGAAATCACAGACCTATTCTTAGGTCCAGCTCCATTCGGACATCTACAGCATCACTGGTGTTCTTGTCAGGTTCAAGTAGGTTTCTACAGGCTCTTTGGATTGCTCTATAAAACAACATAGACTGCTGTATCTCTATAAAACAACATAGACTGCTGTATCTCTATAAAACAACATAGACTGTTGTATCTCTATAAAACAACATCAACTGCTGTATCTCTATAAAACAACATAGACTGCTGTATCACTATAAAACAACATAGACTGCTGTATCTCTATAAAACAACATAGACTGCTGTATCTCTATAAAACAACATTGACTGCTGTTACTCTATAAAACAACATAGACTGCTGTATCTCTATAAAACAATGTATACTGCTGTATCTCTATAAAACAATGTATACTGCTGTATCTCTATAAAACGTAGACTGCTGTATCTCTATAAAACAACATTGACTGCTGTATCTCTATAAAACAACATAGACTGCTGTATCTCTTTAAAACAACATAGACTGCTGTATCTCTAGAAAACATTGACTGCTGTATCTCTATGAAACAACATAGACTGCTGTATCTCTATAAAACAACATAGACTGCTGTATCTCTATAAAACAACATTGACTGCTGTATCTCTATAAACCAACATAGACTGCTGTATCTTTATACAAGAAGCCCAGAGGGCCTGTATCGCTCACCTGAACATGTTTAAAATAATTGGCATGAAGTAAAGATATAGCACTCCATGGTAGGACGTAAGTACATATGAAATTTCAGAATGATCCATCCAGTACTTGAGATATAGAGACAACAAAATCAAACAGAGCCCCACCCCTATGCCCCTAGGGGGGTCATACCCACCGTTAATACAAAATTGAGTCCTCTGACCCAAGGATGCTCCAGACTAAATAAGGATAAAATCCCTTAATCCCGATGGTCAAAGAAGGATTCTAAAGGTTTCACCTCTATTTCTCCTATTGGGCCCCGCCCTTCTGCCCCCTGGGAGACCACAACCACTGCTTATACAAAATTGAGTCCCCTTGGCCCAAGGATGCTCCAGACTAAATTAGGATAAAATCCCTTAATCCCTAGGGTAGAAGAAGGATTTTAAAGGTTTTATCTCTATTTCCCGTATTGGGCCTCGCCTCTCTGCCTCCAGGGGGGTTAGACACACCGTTTCTACAAAATTGGTTCCCCTTCACCCAAGGGTGCTTCATACCAAATTTGGACAAAATCCTGTCATTCGTACAGAAGAAGAAGGTATTTGAAGAATTTGCTGTTTCCCGTATTGGGCCCCTCCCTTCTGCCCCCAGGGGGGCCACACTCGCTGTTTATACGAAATTGAGCCCCTTTTGCTCAAGGATGCTCCAGAATGTATTAGGATAAAATCCCTTAATCCATATGGTAGAAGAAGGATTATAAAGGTTTTACTTCTATTTCCCCAATATGGACCAAATCCTTTCATTCCTACAGAAGAAGAGGGATTTTAAAGAATAATTTGCTATGTTTCCCCTATTGGGCCCCACCCCTCAGGCCCCTGTGGGGCCAGACCAACGGTTTATACAAAATTGGTTCCCCTTCACCCAAGGATGCTTCAGACCAAATATGGAACAAATCCTTTCATTCCTACAGAAGAAGAAGAATTTTAAAGGATTTGCTATATTTTCCCCTATTGGGCCCCGCCCCTCAGCCCCCAGGGGGGCCAGACCCACCATTTATACAAAATTGTTCCCTTCCCCCAAGGATGCTTCTGACCAAATATGGACAAAATCCTTTCATTCCTACAAAAGAAGAAGGATTTTAAAGAATAATTTGCTAAATTTCCCCTATTGGGCCCCGCCCCTTATCCCCTAGGGGTCCACACCCACCATTTATACAAAATTGAGTCCCCTTGACCCAAGGATGCTCCAGATTAAATTAGGATAAAATCTCTTAATCCCTATGGTAGAAGAAGGATTTTCAAGGTTTTACCTCTATTTCCCCTATTGGGCCCAGCCCCTCAGCCCCCAGGGGGGCCACACCCGCCGTTAAGTCAAAATTGAGTCCCCTTGGCCTAAGGATACTCCAGACCAAATTTAGTGAAAATCATCTTGGCCGTTCAGGACGAGTAGCGTTTTAAAGGAAAAGTTGACGGACGGATGACGGACGCTGCGGTATGGCATAAGCTCACCATGGTCCTTTGGACCAGGTGAGCTAAAAACAACATAGACTGCTGAATTTCATACAAAACATTAGGATAGAATAATGTGTGCACATTCCTGTATTATATTTTTTTTTTTACAACATTGAGTCTCCTTGGCCTTGCACATAAAATATATCAGATCAAATTTTGTTAAATTGTAATCAGGCATTTAGGAGTAGGCTTTCAAGGAGAAGCTGACAAGACAGACTGAGGGGAGACAATGCGCTACAGCATTAACATATATTTTTTTTAATTATGTTAAAGAATGAATACTATAATGAATCACTACAGAAACCATACATAATGATAACGTTAGAGGGCTCACTAAACCAATGTAAGTATAAATGGCAAATATGTGTCGAAAAATGTTAAATGTAAAGTCACATTATTAATCTTTGTGATAATGTTTTGTACTTATATATATCCTAGGAGAGAAAATCATATTACAAATGAACCACAAATTTATTAAATTTCTACTGATTTTAATGTCAGGAAATTCCTGTGTTCCATCAACTTACTGTGGAGTGATCTCAGAAAACCTTGCTCGGTATACTGGTATGTTCGGTTTTACTGAAACAGAATGACTGCGCATGTAAAGCCAGAACAAGGATTCATACTGATAAAAACTCTGAACTTTATGGAGTGTACAAATTTAACAACAGCAAAATAAACTGTTTGAATACAGGTTGATAATGCAGTGAATTACATAACTAATAGTTAGGATACATGTATTACACCAAACACTATCTAACCCCGTATGTACATGTATTACACCACACACAATCTAACCCCATATGTACATGTATTATACCAAACACTATCTAACCCCATAGTTACATGTATTACACCAAACACTATGTAACCCCATATGTGCATGTATTACCCCAAACACTATCTACCCCCATATGTGCATGTATAACACCAAACACTATCTAACACCATATGTACATGTATTACACCAAACACTATATAACCCCGTATGTACATGTATTACACTAAACACTATCTAACCCCATATGTACATCTATTACTCCAAACACTAACTAACCCCATATGTACATGTATTACACCACACACAATCTAACCCCATATGTACATGTATTCCACCAAACACTATCTAACCCCATAGTTACATGTATTACACCAAACACTAACTAACCCCATATGTACATGTATTCCACCAAACACTATCTAACCCCATATGTACATGTATTCCACCAAACACTATCTAACCCCATAGTTACATGTATTACACCAAACACTATGTAACCCCATATGTGCATGTATTACCCCAAACACTATCTACCCCCATATGTGCATGTATAACACCAAACACTATCTAACACCATATGTACATGTATTACACCACACACAATCTAACCCCATATGTACATGTATTGCACCAAACACTATATAAACCCGTATGTACATGTATTACACCAAACACTATATAACCCCGTATGTACATGTATTACACCACACACAATCTAACCCCATATGTACATGTATAACACCAAACACTATCTAACCCCATAGTTACATGTATTACACCAAACACTATATAACCCCGTATGTACATGTATTACACTAAACACTATCTAACCCCATATGTGCATGTATTACCCCAAACACTATCTACCCCCATATGTGCATGTATAACACCAAACACTATCTAACCCCACATGTACATGTATTACACCAAACACTATATAACCCCGTATGTACATGTATTACACCAAACACTAACTAACCCCATATGTACATGTATTATACCAAACACTATCTAACCCCATAGTTACATGTATTACACCAAACACTATCTAAACCCATATGTACATGTATAACACCAAACACTATCTAACCCCACATGTACATGTATTACACCAAACACTATATAACCCCGTATGTACATGTATTACACCAAACACTATCTAAACCCATATGTACATGTATAACACCAAACACTATCTAACCCCATATGAACATGTATTACACCAAACACTATCTAAACCCATATGTACATGTATAACACCAAACACTATCTAACACCATATGTACATGTATTACACTAAACACTATCTAACCCCATATGTACATGTATTACACCAAACACTATCTAACCCCATATGTACATGTATACTATTAGTTAAAAACTTTCAAAGCTTTAATCAGGTTTGAAAGGTTATATTTATGGGACTCATCAATGACTGTAGCATTTTCCACAGAATGTGCACCCCAAACAGTACATTATAAAAAACTTAGCTTCCTTGGTAAATTAGTACAAGTTAAAGGTTTTAAACAATATGCATAGGCAACCACTATAGCTGTTATACTTGTTGTTTGTCCATAAAATAACTGGTTTTCATCAATAACACAAGACAGAAATTTATATTTTAGAAAAGTTAATGGAATTCTTTCAAACCATTTAATTTGCTTATTCCTACATGTACATACCATTTTTACAAACTTGAATGACTTCAAACCCAATGTTTTCGCCTTCACGGTCACAGTCTGTCCAGATGATAAGGGACTGTGCTCCTTTTACCTCTCTTTCGAGAGTTCTCTACATAGAACACATAGCATCAGTACAGGTGTAGTCACTGATGCAAGAATCCATAGCCAGTGGTATTAACATAAATGATGACTTGGTCAGGACATTATATTTCGCTTAAGTTGTAACAGAGTATATGTATTAGGAAGGACATTTACTTACAATTTTGACAGCATGCGTATTGAAACCAACCCAGACAACAATAACAAAGGATCAATTACACAACTATATAAAACAATATAAACTGAATGATAATATATACATAATAGACTAAAATTTGTATAAATCAGAAAGTAAAAGGTCTGATATTACTATAACATTGGGTTTTTTAAAATTCAAATCATATCGTAAAGAACAATTCCACATGAATAATATAAAATCCTTGAAAAAATTTGATTGTAAACAGCAATTCATCCCCTAATACATGCTGTTTTACAGTACTCACTTTGATGTCCATAAAATTTTGAGGACAGTACTTCTCCACCTCCACATCAAACAGGGCAACAGGATTACAGCTATACCTAGAGGTAAATAGAGGGAACAAACGTCAACAATGCATACAAACATAGTAAACAGCACCAGGATTACAGCTATACCTAGAGGTAAATAGAGGGAACAAACGTCAACAATGCATACAAACATAGTAAACAGCAACAGGATTACAGCTATACCTAGAGGGAAATAGAGGGAACAAACGTCAACAATGCATTCAAACATATCAAACAGGGCAACAGTATTACAGCTATATCTAGAGGTAAATAGAGGGAACAAACGTCAACAATGCATACAAATATAGTAAACAGCAACAGGACTACAGCTATACCTAGAAGTGAATAGAGGGAACAAAGGTCAACATTGCATACAAACATAGCAAACAGCAACAGGATTACAGCTTTACCTAGAGGTAAATACAGGGAACAAATGTCACCAATGCATACAAACATAGCAAACAGCAACAGGATTACAGATATACCTAGAGGGAAATATAGGGAACAAACGTCAACACTGCATACAAACATAGTAAATAGGGCAACAGGATTACAGATATACCTAGAGGGAAATAGAGGTAACAAACGTCAACAAGGCATACAAACATAGTGAACAGCAACAGGATTACAGCTTTACCTAGAGGTAAATATAGGGAACAAACGTCACCAATGCATACAAACAGAGTAAACAGCAACAGAATTACAGCTGTACCTAGAGGTAAATAGAGTGAACAAACGTCAACAAAGCATACAAACATAGAAAACAGAAACAGGATTACAGCTTTACCTAGAGGTAAATATAGGGAACAAACGTCAGTGAGCTAAAAACAACATAGACTGCTGTATCTTTATACAAGAAGCCCAGAGGGCTTGTATCGCTCACCTGAACATGTTTAAAATAATTGGTATGAAGTAGGTGCTGTAAGTACATATGAAATTTCAGAAATATCCATACAGTACTTGAGTTATAGTGAGAACAAACTTCAAACAGAGCCCCACCCCTAGGGGGGTCATACCCACCGTTTATACAAAATTGAGTCACCTTGGCCCATTGATGCTCCAGACTAAATTAGGATAAAATCTCTTAATCCCTATGGTAGAAGAAGGATTTTAAAGGTTTTACCTCTATTTCTCCTATTGGGCCCCACCCGTCTGCCCCTTGGGAGACCAAACCCACTGCTTATACAAAATTGAGTCACCTTGGCCCATTGATGCTCCAGACTAAATTAGGATAAAATCCCTTAATACCCCATATGTACATGTATTACGGTAAAGCTATAAACTTGTTTACTATGTTTGGTTTCATTGTTGACATTTGTTCCCTCTATTCACTTCTAGGTATAGCTGTAGTCCTGTTGCCCTGTTTACTATGAATGAAAGGATTTGGTCCATATTTGGTCAGAAGCATCCTTGGGGGAAGGGGAACCAATTTTGTATAAACCGTGGGTCTGGCCCCCCTTGGGGCTGTGGGGCGGGGCCCAATAGGGGAAATATAGCAAATTCTTTAAAATCCTTCTTCTACCATAGGGATTAAGGGATATTATCCTAATATAGTCTGGAGCATCCTTAGGCAAAAGGGACTCAATTTTGTATAAACGGTGGGTATGACCCCCCTAGGGGTGGGGCTCTGTTTGAAGTTTGTTCTCACTATAACTCAAGTACTGTATGGATATTTCTGAAATTTCATATGTACTTACAGCACCTACTTCATACCAATTATTTTAAACATGTTCAGGTGAGCGATACAGGCCCTCTGGGCTTCTTGTATAAAGATACAGCAGTCTATGTTGTTTTTAGCTCACTGACGTTTGTTCCCTCTATTTCCCTCCTGTTTACTATGTTTGGTTTCATTGTTGACATTTGCTCCCTCTATTTACCTTCTAGGTATAGTTGTAATCCTGTTGCCCTATTTACTATGTTTGTAAGCATTGTTGATGTTTGTTCCCTCTATTTACCTCTAGATATAGCTGTAGTACTGTTGCCCTGTTTACTATGAATGAAAGGATTTGGTCCATATTTGGTCAGAAGCATCCTTGGGGGAAGGGGAACCAATTTTGTATAAACGGTGGGTATGACCCCCCTAGGGGTGGGGCTCTGTTTGAAGTTTGTTCTCACTATAACTCAAGTACTGTATGGATATTTCTGAAATTTCATATGTACTTACAGCACCTACTTCATACCAATTATTTTAAACATGTTCAGGTGAGCGATACAGGCCCTCTGGGCTTCTTGTATAAAGATACAGCAGTCTATGTTGTTTTTAGCTCACTGACGTTTGTTCCCTATATTTCCCTCTAGGTATAGCTGTGATCCTGTTGCTGTTTGCTATGTTTGAATGCATTGTTGATTTACTATGTTTGTATTCATTGTTGCCGTTTGTTCACTCTATTTCCCTCTAGGTATAGCTGTATTCCTGTTGCCCTGTTTTCTATGTTTGTATTCATTGTTGCCGTTTGTTCACTCTATTTCCCTCTAGGTGTCATGATGTTTTAATTTCTAGGTGAACAGTACAAGCCCTCCTTGCCTCTTGCTTTTATATCTGTTTGTTTTTGCTAATTTTTTGTGGCAGTAGAGGGAAGGATTTTCCAAATTCAACAAGATTTATGAATTTGAGTACAACATTCTGAATCACAACAATTGCACTATGACGATGACATCAGTGTCCGGCCATCTTTGAGGGCTGTCCTTCATAGGTAATTTCAAGCAATGGTGAGTATCTCCTTGTTTTGTAAATATATACATGTATTACGGTAAAGCTATAAACTTGTTTACTATGTTTGACCTCCTCTATATGACACACAGTTCCCTCTATTTACCTTCTAGGTATAGTTGTAATCCTGTTGCCCTATTTACTATGTTTGTATTCATTGTTGCCGTTTGTTCACTCTATTTCCCTCTAGGAATAGCTGAAATCCTGTTGCCCTGTTTACTATGTTTGACCTCCTCTATATGACACACAGTTCCCTCTATTTACCTCTATGTATAGCTGTAATCCTCTATTTGGTGTTATACAACATACATGTCTATTTCGCCACTTATATCTTAATGTGGTAATACAAACTAATAACATCGGCAGTCATTGTTCATATTTACTAACTAACATTTGTATATAATTACAGGAACCATTGTAATTATATACAAATGTTAGTTAGTAAATATGAACAATGACTGCCGATGTTATTAGTTTGTATTACCACATTAAGATATAAGTGGCGAAATAGACATGTATGTTGTATAACACCAAATAGAGGATTACAGCTATAACTCGAGGCAAATAGAGGGAACAAATATCAACAATGCATACAAATATAGTAAACAGCAACAGAATTACAGCTGTACCTAGAGGTAAATATAGGGAACAAATGTAAACTATGCATGCAAACATAGTAAACAGGAGGGAAATAGAGGGAACAAACATCAACAATGCTTACAAACATAGTAAATAGGGCAACAGGATTACAACTATACCTAGAAGGTAAATAGAGGGAGCAAATGTCAACAATGAATACAAACATAGAAAACAGAAACAGGATTACAGCTTTACCTAGAGGTAAATATAGGGAACAAACGTCAACAAAGCATACAAACATAGAAAACAGAAACAGGATTACAGCTTTACCTAGAGGTAAATATAGGGAACAAACGTCAAAAATGCATACAAACATAGTACACAGCAACAGGATTACAGATATACCTAGAGGGAAATAGAGGGAACAAACGTCAACAATGCATACAAACATAGTAAACAAGTTTATAGCTTTACCGTAATACATGTATATATTTACAAAACAAGGAGATACTCACCATTTCTTGTAATTGCCTATGAAGTCCAGCCCTAAAAGATGGCCGGACACTGATGTCATGGTCATAGTGCAATTGTTGTGATTCAGAATGTTGTACTCAAATTCATAAATCTTGTTGAATTTGGAAAATCCTTCCCTCTACAACAACAAAAAATTAGTAAAAACAAACAGATATAAAAGCAAGAGGCAAGGAAGGCCTGTACTGTTCACCTAGAAATTAAAACATCATGACAAAAAATGTTGAGCTCCCGCCTCTGTCACTCAGCACCAAGAGTAACAATATTTGTAAAATAATGGCCATTACTACAAGATGTGTCTTGAAATGGTATATAAAATGGCCATTGTTGCCCCTATTATTTTAAGTAATGGCAATTAGATTTAAGATGATAAATAATGGTCATTAAATACCTTAAGTAATGGGCATTAATAACAAAATAATGGACTTTATTAACAATAAAAACAAAATATAATGGACATTGAAATAATAATGGTGACATAGTAAGATAGAATAATTATTTAATATTTTAATAGGAATTTGATATATTAATGGACGATAAATGGCCATTAATCAAAACACTCCATTTTCTTTCAAAACAAGAGGCCCAGAGGGCCTGTATCGCTCACCTGAATATGTTTAAAATAATTGGTATGAAGTAGGTGCTGTAAGTACATATGAAATTTCAGAAATATCCATACAGTACTTGAGGTATAGTGAGAACAAACTTCAAACAGAGCCCCACCCCTAGGGGGGTCATACCCACCAATTATACAAAATTGAGTCCCCTTGACCCAAGGATGCTCCGGACTAAATGAGGATAAAATCCCATAATCCTGATGGTCGAAGAAGGATTTTAAAGGTTTTACCTCTATTTCCCCCATTGGGCCCCGCCTCTCTGCCTCCAGAGGGGTCAGACACACCGTTTATACAAAATTGAGTCCCTTTTGCCTAAGGATGCTCCAGACTATATTAGGATAATATCCCTTAATCCCTATGGTAGAAGAAGGATTATAAAGGTTTTACCTATATTTCCCCTATTGGGCCCTGCCCCTCAGGTCCCACGGGGGGGGGGGGTCTCCTTTACCAAAGGGTGCAGTGCCACACCAAATATGGAACAAATCCTTTCATTCCTACAGAAGAAGAAGGATTTTAAAGAATTAAGAATTTGCTATGTTTCTCCTATTGGGCCCCGACCCTCAGCCCCAAGGGGGGCCAGACCCACGGTTTATACAAAATTGGTTCCCCTTCCCCCAAGGATGCTTCTGACCAAATATGGACCAAATCCTTTCATTCCTACAGAAGAAGAAGGATTTTAAAGAATTTGCTATATTTCCCCTATTGGGCCCCGCCCCACAGCCCCAAGGGGGGCCAGACCCATCATTTATACAAAATTGATTCCCCTTGGCCTAAGGATGCTACAGAACAAATTTAGTCCAAATCAACTGGGCCGTTAAGGACAAGTAGTGTTTTAAAGGAAAAGTTGACGGACGGACGACGGACGCTGCGCCATGGCATAAGCTCACTTGCCCTTCGGGCAGGTGAGCTAAAAATGAAACAAAAAATAATGGCAAAAGTAATTCTTTTTTAATATTAATAGCATGCATTTTAATGGGGATTTAATGCAAGTTTAATAGGCACCTATGCCAGTAGTGAATGCCCTGCCTTTTATACATCACAGTTGATTCCCAATCTTTGTTATAAAGATGCTTCATAGCTAGAGTAGGATCAATATTCAGCCCTTACAATGGTTCCTGTAATTATATACAAATGTTAGTTAGTAAATATGAACAATGACTGCAGATGTTATTAGTTTGTATTACCACATTAAGATATAAGTGGCGAAATAGACATGTACGTTGTATAACACCAAATAGAGTAACAAAATGGTGTATAAATGTCAAAAACTTTAAGGGCACCTGCAGCTTTAATAAGGAACGTATGCTGCATTATGAGAAATCAGTCACTGAATCATGATGAATTAATGGTAAAAAGAATTTCTCAAATATATCCACCCATGAGTTTTCTGAAACTCATTTTTGTACCTGGTAGTAGAATTTTATATTTAATACTACTACAACACTTAAATATGTATGTTGCATTTATATAATTTGACGCATTTTTATATTTAATACTTTAGCTACTACAACACTTATGTTGCATACATATCACTTCAGAGGCATCATGCTTGAATGTGACAGGTGAAAAAAGGTAAAACCTAAATAGGTCCATTTTAATGTTGTGCAATGCAAATGCACACAATTGTACTGTATACTAAAAATTCTATACCACATACATGTGCATGCAGAAATATGATGCTCTGTCAGAATATTACGACATGGCTGTACTTGGTTAAATATGTGATGTTCATTTAAACAAAACTTTCATATATATACACATTTGTATGTTTTCACACATATCCTGTATCTGTAACTAAACTAAACAATGTTACAAGTGATACCACAAACAAGGGACCGTTTTTCATTATGATGCACATATACTGCAGTACGTGATACTCCACTAGGAGGACTGTACATTGACAAAAGAAGAAGAAAAGAATATTTCAGACTGTGGTCTTGCCGTGAATTTGTCTTGCCCTGTTGCATATGTAAACAAACTAACGAGTAATCACAACATGAAGCCCAACGTGTTTCCAACTGCATCAGATATAACCTTTATGAAAATCAAAAGCTCTCAAACGTGAAATTTTCTTGGTTTTTTAAAAATAACTCCATAACTCCCAAGCTGTACATTACTGTATACTGTATTCATGTATATTTGCGCCACTGAGTACAGCAGTACTAGTTCGGTGCATCTCAATGTATAACCTACCTTTCGAGCACTTCCCCTTGACATGACAGCAGCGATTGACTTCGCGGCATCATTTTTCTCTGCAACATTCAATATCCTGACCATTTTCTCTTTGGAAGATGTACAGAATGCCCTGCGTATCGGTAATAGCACCATCACAGACTCCAAAACTTTGGCGAATTAGCCGCCATTTCAATAGTATACTTCCGGTTGCAGGGTAAACATAATATAAGAGCGAGTACAAAACCCGGAATGCACTCAGGCGTGGAGAGTTTTTTGTTAATTTATTGTATATATTAGGCTGTATCTCCCTCAATACGTCTTGGATTTTCATTCGGAGACCAGTCTAGGAAAGATAATTTTATACCTGTCACAATGATATAAGTTATGCGTACCATTATTTAATATTAAAAGTGAAAGTGGTGGCCGGAATGAACCACTATGATATAAAAATGGCAATATTTTCAACTGTTTTCGTTCTAATAAATACTCATATCTCAAAAACTACTGAACCAATTTTTGTTCGGTGACCACCCTGGTCAAGGGAATTTTGCCCTTGTTAATATGATACCAACTGTTTAAACACATCTTTCATATTTATTTGTGATGCTATTTTAACAAATTGTGGAAACGGTCTAAAGATTATAAAATTATCTTGCTTAGAGTGGTCACCGAACAAAAATCGGTTCTGCGATTAACGAGTAATGGGTAAAAAAAGACAGAAAGTTATGAGAAAGTTATCCTTTTTTCGTCATTTTTCAAACGATTTCGATTCATTCCGGCCACCACTTTTGCGATTAATATGAAAGATATGTTTAAACAGTTGGTATCATATTAACAAGTGCAAAATTCCCTTGACCAGGGTGGTCACCGAACAAAAATCGGTTCAGTAGTTTTTGAGATATGAGTATTTATTAGAACGAAAACAGTTGAAAATATTGCCGTTTTTATTTCATAGTGGTTCATTCCGGCCACCACTTTCACTTTCAATATTAAATAATGGTACGCATAACTTATATCATTGTGACGGGTATAAAATTATCTTTCCTAGACTGGTATCCGAATGAAAATCCATGATATATTATAGGAGATACAGCCTAATATATACAAAAAATCAACAAAATAATCTTCACGCCTGAGTGCATTCCGGGTTTTGTCCTCACCCATAATATAAGAAAACAAAAATTACCGGAATTTTACATAGGATCGGGCTCATGATATATTACACGGAACGTGGAACATGAAAAGGAGTGAATGAAACATATTATTTAAATATAAATAACAACAGTGACAATGGTAAATGCTTCATAACACTGATATGATTGAGATCACCACCTTAAAAATACACATAATATTACTGAGTATGAAGAGATTATCACACTTACGCTACAAGAATTGTATCCATTTTCCGTTCGTGCCCCCGTTGACTCAGTTCCTATATCATAACATGGGGAAAAGTTTGAGATACTATCCTAAAACTAAAATATGATTCGAGGACCCATGGGAACTACGTAAATAATCTCTAATGTCAAACACACAGTATAATCAACTCCCATTCAGTTTGCAACACTGTGTTCCACACAAGCCATATCCATTTTCTAAGCCCCAATATGCGACGTTAAATAAAAATTCTTGTATCTTCTTGTATCTTGCATCTAACACTTAAATATTAAAAAGAAAATGAAGCCACAAAATACGCACAAATTGACAATTTTTTATCTTTTCATTCTCTTTCTAAATCAGTCATCGGACAACACAATAACACGAGATATGACTGTGGATACTGTGACCAGGAAGTCACTTCCTAGTGTTGGACTGATAAGGGTGTCCAATGTGGAAACGAGCACTGTCACCAGTGGTTCCACATAGCATGCCAAGGCATGGGCACAGACACTTACAATATGCTATCTGATAGCTGTTATACCTGGCACTATCTCAGGTGCTCCTTTCCAAATTACTCAAGTAGTCTATTTGATTCATTTGACACACTATCGGACACAAATATCTTGATGACCTACAACTAGACACCTCAACTTAGCTACAATATTTGTGACCACCCCGAGCCACATCCTCGCCTAACCCACACATGTCCAAAAACCCCAGACAACAGAAAAAGAAAAACAGAACGCAACGACTCACCATCTTGAACAATAACTTGCCAATCTATTAAAAAAAAAATTCCAGAATCTGATGTCATTGTAGACACTGATTCATGGTTAAATATAGAAATCCCGACAAATTGCCGAAACATTCACTCCAAAATTCAATATTTACAGAAATGACAGAAAAAAAGGAGGGGTGTATTCTTAGCTATCTCAAAAAGTCCCATATCAGAGGAGAGATTAGAACTAACCACAAATTATGAAATAACCTGGGCAAAAATTGATATCGTAGGTATGAAACCCATTTACATTGCTGCATATTACAAACCACAAGAGCACGACATGGACAGCCTTATCCGACTTGAGCAATCCTTTCAAAAGATACCAAGGAACAGTCACATTTGGGTTCTTGGTGATTTTATTCTTCCAAAATATGATTGGTCAGATAACGCACCAACTTCCACCACACACAACAGCGGTGTCCATCCATATTTTCTGAATCTTATCAACGACTTCATTCTAAATCAAGTAGATTTCCACTAGAAAAGATAACATCTTTGACCTTTTCTTTGACCTTTTCCTTCTACGTCAACCACCACATGTTCATGAAACAAACACACCTCCAGGCCTTGGGTCCTCCGACCACGACATTGGTTTTCACGAACTTGAAATTATACATGGTAGAAAATCGAAAGCTATCCGTCGTATATACCCAGTCACCACCAAATTATACTATGTGGAGCAAAAGTGGTCCTATCTGAAAGAGAATTTAAATCGAATAATTAACAAACTGATCCCCTTTAAAATGTCAAAAAGTAGGGTAGACCTCCCATGGATCACCAATGACACAAATAAAAAAAATGCTCATCAGAAAACGGGACAGGCTACATCACAAACTTAGAACATGTAAACTTAGCATCAGACATGCAACAGCGCATAAGTCCCTTAAACACGAAATCCAACAAACTTAAATATTGGCATTATCTTGAAATAGTTATAGTGACCGACACAGAAAACAAAGAACTACCAAGCAAATCAAGCAAACTTATTTGGTCTTTTATAAAAAGCAGGAAAACAGAAAACATTGGAATTTCGCCTCTCAAAGTTAATGGCATTACGTATACCCAACCTAACAACTTAAAGCCCAAGCAGAAGCTCTAAACAAGCAATTCCAATCTGTGTTTACCACACCAACACCACTAAAGCTTTCCTATCTCTGTGAACAGACATACAATCTCGCTAAAAGTACAATGCCAAATATCATATGTACAGCATTTCCAAACTGCTTGAAATTCTCAACCTAAACAAAACTATAGGCCCTGACAAAATCTCACCTCAAACACACCCAGCACGAAATTTCACCCATCATTGCAGACATTTTCAACAGCTCACTTCAAACAGGCCATGTCCATGCAGACTGGAAAACAGCACATATAATTCCATGCTTAAAAAAGTTGCCACAAACTATCGCCCCATATCTCTTACATGTATACTTGTGCTTAGTCTTTGAACACATCCTGGTATCTAACATTATGTCACATCTAGTTAGCCATAACCTTCTCACCCTCTCCAGCACGGCTTTCACTCCAAACACAGTTGTGAATCCCAACTTGTCACCTTCACTACTGACACCTACGATAACCTAGCCGATGGGAAACAAACCGATATAGCCGTAATGGATTTCTCAAAAGCCTTTGATAAAGTGGACCACTAAAGACTTATTTTCAAACTTTCTCATTTCGGCATCAATCCGCAAATTATTAATTGGATGAAAAAAATCCTAGAAATCGCAGCCAAAACGCTCTTGTGGAAAATAATTAATCTCACGTCTGTCCAGTTCTTTCAGGTGCGCCCCAAGGTTCGGTTCTCGGCCTCTGTCTGTTTTTGATGACTTACCAAATTCAATTAAAAGTCAGATTCGCCTTTTTGCTGGCGACACCATCATTTATATCGCCATCTACTCTGAATCAGACTCACACACTCTACAAAAAGACCTACATCTACTAGACAACTGGGAAAATAAATGGTTGTTGGACTTAAACACTGTTAAATGCAAAATTATAACTGTCTCCCGCAAAAGAAGTTCTGTCATTCACAAGTACCTACTACACGGAAAAGAATTAAAACACACAAACTCAGCAAATATTATTTAGGCCTAAACATCACATTTTATTTCTCATGGAATTCACATATCACCAACATCACAGATTTAACCGCAGACATGTACAAACAGACAATATCAACACAAAAAAACTTGCATACAAAACATATATACGCCCTCAACTGGAATACTGCAGTACAATATGGGACCCATGGCAAAAAAAAACTAATCAAAAAAAGATTGAAACAATTCAGAGAAGAGCTGCTAGGTACGTTCTGAACAATTACAATTACACAGACAGTGTAACCGACACGTCAATATATATATATATATATATAGAATAAATAAAATTAACGACCGACTAAAAAACTAGCTGCTTTCACCCTTCACAGGGCTCTTCAGGTTTAAACAGTGGAAACCTGAAGAGCCCTGTGAAGGGTGAAAGCAGCTAGTTTTTTAGTCGGTCGTTAATTTTATTTTTTCTATATTTACTTCCTTCACATGGACATTTAATCACTTTTTATTATATATATATATGTATATATGTATATAAACTTTATTTATTTTACAACAATAATGAAACAAGTTAATTCAACTTATATTAATCACTCTTGTTGGCCCGCATGTTAGCGCGTGTAGGGTCTTAGTGTGGGAGGAAACCGGAGTACCCGGAGAAAAACCATGTGGTAGGGCAGGGGACCCCAACCTTTTCACGTCCGATCGGGAAATCGAACCCCGGCCGCCTTGGTGAAAGGAAAGTGCGCTATCCACTGCACCACTCGACCTTCCAAAAACCTTAATTAAACTTTACTTTGACATTGCACCTTTGTACTATCTTCTACATATTGAAGGACACGAAGTACACAGTTGATGTTGATGGCTAATAATCAACTAAAGTTTGTAAT